GTGAAATGTGTGACATTTTGACTTATTATGCCAATCTTTTTTTCAAAAGGAGGAAAATATTTCAATATTATTTTAAAAACAATTTTGTACAACTGTAGATTTTAAACTAAATGGAAGTAGAGTTTCTTTTCAATGAAACTACTTAAAAATACTTTCTGACAAAGGATAATAATAATATTTTTAGAATATTCTACTTAGTTCAACAACTTTTTGCTTAGTTTTTAATGTTACAGAAAACTATCATGATATTAATTGATATAGTAGTCAATAATTATGTAAATATATAGAAAAAATAGCACAGATATCACATGTAACTCTAATCTGATTTTCAATTATTTCTTTAGACTTTATGTTTTACAATAAATGTCAAAACCATTGAACAGAAAACTGTGTTTTCAACTAACAATAGCTAATTATTTCTTTTTTATATTGTACTATATTCAATGATTAAAAGATAAATGACTTTGATAATTTTAATATTTGCGCGTAAAGCTGAGAATTCAAAATAAAAATTGTAGACTTAGTATTCATCTAGTATTGTTTGTTTAAATCTTCCAGCTGATGTTTGGGACTGCAATATAGAGGCAATCCTCACAGGATACACATTCGCCAATAAGAGACTGATCAATTGCAGCCCTAAACATCAATGGGAAGCTTAAAACAAGCGATACCAAATGAATTTAAACTTCACTACATTGCACAAGCTAGTGGCTATCACGAATCAGTAGTTAAGTGGATAACGTGGCGGTGTTTGAAGCGAACGGTACCGGGTTTGAGTCCCGGAGTGAACATCAACTCTGGGATGCAGGTGCGTGGAGCTGACGAGTCCCGAATAGGACTAAACGCGCGTCTCGGATCCCATTGCTGGTTATCAACCATCTATGCTTATAGTGTTAGTTTTCATCTGTTATCGGATTTGGTGTATTATTTCAACTTTTAAATACGTAAATAAGTGGATAAACTCTTTCCTGATGTGAGATTTTCTGACAATTTTGCATACTGTGTAAATATCTGAATGAAGAGTAAGAGGTTTAACCGATAATAATTTTCTAAATAGTTACTCATTGTTCCCTTGCTTTTTTGATGAATTACCATATTATACAATTCTCTGGTGAAAATTTCCTTGTCCTCAAGTTCATGTTCTTCAAAATTAGTATATTTTTTATCTTAACAGTTGAATTCGTGAGGCGATCTAAGCTAGACTACTATTGAAAACCTGGAAACACTGAACGGCCATTTCGTCCTAGCACGGGATTCATGAGCAGGACCTTCGGTCTCACGCGTGAACGTTTAACCTCTAAACCACTGAGCCGGCATCCAACGGTGTTAATGTCTAACTTCAACCGATTCATGATCTTGCACAACCTTTCAGGCATCGTCTGAGGTGGATAACTGTCTCACATTCGACACGAATTGGACTCCACCAGTCACGGCTTCTCACTAGAACTCCAGGAAATATCTCTTGAAGCTAGTCACTAGTGAGCACATGATCATCATCAGTAAGGGGATTTGAGGAGATTGCAGCAATTTCCACAGTTGAATTCTATCTAAGCTATTTGTTTATCATTTAGACGTACTGTCGTTAAATTTCGTATGTATATATTATTGTGTATAGTAAAATAAAAATCTTAACTGAGACGATACACTGATAAAACCTATTTTATGATGATAATACAGTACACATATTATTATAAACAAAACCTTAGTTATTGTTTATATGTTATTTACATATAATCAATGTGTTTCATAATTTCTTTATCACTATGCTTAGGACATCAGAAGTTTAATTTGTAAATCTAAATATTTCATTACTACTTTATTCAAACACTTTGTACCACAGATAACTTTGGTTTATATATTGAAAAGTATAATGTAAATTAAATGTGTATTTTAGAGCATATCGTCATGATATTTTAAATGTTTATTAGTATGTTCTGTTATGATAATAATAACCAATACCAACAGTGATAATAATAACCACACTAATATTATACCCTGAACCAACGTAGTCTGATGAGCAATTAAACACTAGGGAGTCTTTGGCATTTGTGTATAACGTTAGATATGAAATCCAAGTACCACTATGAGAATTTTGATATATCTAATCACAAGCTTTCAACTTTATAGACCCAGTTCATGCAGTGGGTTTTCTTCACAAAATTTTTCGCCAACCTTTTTAAATAAGTTTATAATAAAATTGGTGTTGAAGAATTAGACAAACTATTCAGGTACTTACTTCTGTTTATTTAATGATTTTCTCATTGATTAGTGTTATTTTGAATAGGTACATTGAAAAGTGGATTATTTGTCTTCATAACAAATTTTATTGCCTATAGAAAAGAATGAGATTATCATATTACGTATCAATTATCTTTGAATCATAATGATTATAACTACTATTGCTACTAATTAGTGTTTCTACTATTATAAGAATATTGATCTTTTGTATATAATTAAACATTCAGTCGGTTTTTGAGATAGTAAGTATTTTTGCATTTGCAATTGCAAAGTATAAGGTATTATCATGTCTAAAAACGAGGTGTTACATTATTCACCTTCAAAATTTCCCTTTTAAGATCCTATCGCATGAATGACGCCACGTGTGTGCACTTCATAAACAAGATGTTTTCTTAAAATCGTCACCAAAAAGTTTGAAAAGTTTGAAAATAAAATTCTACCGATAATATCGGTTCCTTAATCTTGTGTTTAATTTTAATTTCCACTTATTTACAAAAAAATTGGCTGGTTTTAAGTATGAACATATCATTTCCACGGTTATTTAATTGGTCCTCTCAGTCTTCTTCATTGTCCGAACATCCCATATACTCATATTAATTGTTGCTCTGGTTGCTAGAACTGGCATCGGTTTCGTGACTTCCTAAGAATATCGGCTTTCACTGTAAGGCAACATAATTATTTTGAATAAAGATCCTTGAACTCCTAGGGAGGAGTTTAAGTGGTTTAAATTCTCTGTTGTGGTTAGCGTATCTTTAGTGTTGTTGTATTGTGACCACATCTCCAACTTACCTCCTTTACCCGGTCTTGGGACCGACGGTAACTTTAGAAGAGCTACAGCAACATGTTGCTCAAGGATATTTCGGCAGATGTTTAATAGAATAAATATATTTCGTTTATGTAGTTATATTCTTCCTGCATCCTGTTCTAAAGTATGAACGCATTTATTCACTATTCGTTTACCAGTTTGATTAGTTATTTCTTCTTAGTGTTATTGTGACAAATACGTTTTAGTGATTCGTTTATATCAGTACCTAAAAATGACATCCATATTTAATTAGACGAGTAATCTATCTGATATACTGAGGTTCTTTTTGGGATTGTATTTTTTATACAAATAATTAGAGTCCCATTAAAACAAGCCGTCGCATATTTTATCAAGTAATCTTTTTTTATAAGCTTCGGTCTAGTCAGAGTCAGTTACTACCCTATTTGCCAAGTTTGTATATGACAGAAAACTGTAAGATATCAGGAAAATACTCATTATTTAGTTTAGGTGTCTATACAAATCTCCAGTAACAAAAGTGCAGTTTTATCTTTAATTTTAAACATGTTTCACATAACAATTAGTGCAGGTGGTTCTAAGCAATATAGTTATTCTATATTGTTGTTCATTCATTTTCGATTGTTCATTATGCACGATATCCATCATTTCGGGTATTTTGCCTTTCATTTAATAGGTGAATACTGCATATAAGAGTAATTTTTCTGAAGATTTCATTTTCATCATATTAAGTTAACGAAATCTATCTGGCGTGAACATATAAGTATGGTGTATCCCAACATGCTGCATTATACAAGATATAAATATTGAGAATTTTATGGCTTAAAATGAAATCTTTAGTAAAACTTACGCTCGCATGTTCAGCACTCGACCAATAAATAGACAAAAATGTTCAAAAGTACATTATGCCGCACTTATTTAGCTTTGAAAAACGGATGGATAATCTCATACGGCAAAGATGATTCAGTGACTTTTTGTAATGAAAAACTCGAATAAATGCTTAACCAATACAACGAAAAGATGAAATTTGGAAGTATGTGATACGATGTAATACATTTTAAACAAAAGTGTTTAGCCATTTGTATCAAACATAAAAAGGTCAAACTAAAAATATTGAAACGTAGCAACAACACTGATAATAACATAAACCCTTATATGGCTTCACTTCAGTCTATTGCAAAGACAAAGCCTTTACAGGAGGGATGTGATAGTCTGGGCGATTGTAGACAGATCACATTCTATCTCAAGGCCACATAATAGATGAGAGATTCAAAAATGAACATGTCAATGTAAGAGAATTGTTCATCCTACCTTGATCACAGCTTACATATCTCTGTCTGGGTCAGGGAAGATACGTGTCTGTAACGCATGAGTTATGAACACTGATTCACTTTTGGGTGTAAAGCTTTCTGTACATTTTTAGTCTTGTACTATCACATAGCTAGTTGTGTCAGGCGTTTGAAAAAGTTTAATGTGGCTGAATTGAACTGACTGATCATAAACGTATGGAGATAGATATGAGAAAAATTAGTGTTATAATCTCCCAGTCAAATTCAATTACAATACACACTTCCTAGCGTTCGACTCAACAAGCTATAAGATTAGACGATTAAGAATCTGCAGGAATCTTTCATGATAAAATAAACCCAGAGTGTTTATAGCTCATGGGTATATATAAGCAACTTTGCTATTAAATATATGAACCAAATTACGAAATTCGTTGATGAAGTAGTCCTGATAATAATTACAATATTATTATCAAGCTTATTTAATGTGTAAATCATTCGCTAATATTTGTGACGTTCTTTTAAATTAAACTATACTGTTAAAGACAATATTTATGTTACATTTGTCTTATTAAGTAATCGGATATACGATGATTATTGTTTATTACGTTATCTAGTATTTACACTATCATTGTAATTCTTATCACCATCATTACTATATTTCTTACTACACGAATAATAATTGATTTTTTTAGAACTCGTGAAGGTATATCTACCAAACAGTGAGTTTATCATTTAATGAATGTGTATGTATATGCTGATACTCAATTCGAATTTATAAATGGTTTCATTGTGGAGTAGTAATTATTATTACTATGATATTCACTGTTAATAACTATTTGAAGATAATATTTAATGAGTAAATAGATGGAAATTTAGAAAACAAACATTATTTTAAAATATTATTATTGATGATCCATGTACATTTATTGATAGTGCGATACAATTTCATTCATATGTAGATTCATGGATCTTATTTATAGATATTGTTTTCATACCTGACATTATTTGTCAGTTGGTAGATTGAATCCCCCAAAAATATACTCTAAGGCAGATGATATTCACACATTATTTTCACCATATCTTAACTATGCCATATTGTAACAATTCATAATAACTTCAGTTGTTCGTTAATTTTTTTGAAACGATTGTTCTTAATTTTCTATCTGATCTTTAACTGAGGATGATTATACAGTAATGTTGACAGATTTTACAAGTGATTAGTACTTTGGGGAGTTTAATATACTTTCATAGTTTATAAATAAATATATTGCTCTTTGAAGAAAGCTTTTGGTTAGAAAATATTTAGAAAAACATGGATCAATCTCGTAATGAATCATTCATCAAATTTTATGTCATTAAAACAAGATGAAATTGTATCGTAATGTTCTTCCAGTTTTTTTTTAAAATTATTAGTTCGAAATAATCATTAAAAGTAGACGAAATAGAAATGACTGTTGTGTAGGGATAGTTTAAAACACATAACTATTGTTCCTACTTTGATTGCACCTATGTACAATCAATCGATTCACTTAATAGTGTTTAGACAAAACAAACTTTTCCTTCACATATATATACGTACGAATGTCTTGTCATATGTAACAGTATTCACATAAGAATCTTTCTCTCCCCTTGATCCCTACCTCACCACCTCTTAGTAAAGATAAACCATTAAGTGATTTATGAAATAATAGTGAAGATTGGATAGGCAGATAAAAGATGTTGAGAAAATTCTAACCACAAAGCTTACTTATTATGAAACTGTATTTGTTATACTATAGTTTAAGTTATATTCACTAAACAGTGAAAACAAAATCTGACCGAACAAAGCTGAAAGACAAAGGTTTTATTGATTGTCATCAATTGTAATTTATGCATTTCGAAATATGTCCTGCTATAGAAGGGATTAGATTGCTTCATAAATAAATTCATTGAAGTTTTTTTACTTCCCTCCTCTTTCTGCTTGCCTCTACGTTTATACAAACCATTCACGATCTATTGCATGTATGCATTCATGTCAGTTTACCTATGTATTTTTTAGTGTTATAAAACAATACTATTGTATATATTTAAATATTCACTCTGCAATTATTAAGTTTATTTTCTATATGAATAGATTTTTGCATAAATATCAAATAAGTACATTGGTTTAGTATCTTAAATTAGCTTCTTCAAACAACAGCTTCGTTTACTATCATACAGTTAATTAATATTACATTGATCTGATAGCTCTTTTTCAAAAAGAAATTTTAACAGATGGTTTGAGAGAACAACAAAACTCACACGACTATAAGCCGATTTTTTCAAATGGATACAACTATAAAGTGACTATTCACAGTGAAACGACCAAATAGCATACTGATATGTAGTCGATATTTATTAATTGAGTCAAAACGCTTTAAGTCTATGTTGTACCAAGTGAAACTAACCGATAAATGGTTTCATGAAAATCGAAAAGTATAGTAACTAATACCTATAATGAGCTACGCGCATTTGTTGAAATTTGATATTGGACAAAAGACCTAATTTGACACAACTTTATAGTGTCAAAGGTAATTTCGGATAAATGTTCCCAAATTTATTCTCTGTGTGTGGTGAAGTACTAGTGACACATAGAATACAATTTTGTACAAAATATTAAGTGGTTTCATTTTTTATCGGCTAGTTGTTTGATGATTAAATATGAACAACAGACTAATCTAAAATACAGTGTATTATTGGTGAGAGTCTATTTTTGCCTGAATTGTTTCAGTAAATATAAGCGAAACGTCTTACAATCAATGAGGAATGTTTAAAGATCAGAAAGAATTTCGATGAATTTTATTTACAAAACTGCCTTTTAAGATATTTACACGTTTACCAGTAGACCAGGGTAATTAGTAAAAACTGACTTTAATATCGAAAGTCTGGTTGATAAACCGTGACCTGCTGCTACCAAGAATGGCCAAATCGTTTAAATTCTGATATGTATTTGGTGCTACATTTTTCGAATCAACATGTTTGGTCTTTATTCATTTCGTCGTTACTTTCAGTAATACCTTTCTGAATATTAATAATGATTCTATACGTCATTAATTTACCTAAGTTATTGAATGGTGATTTCAGTCTAGATTTGTGAGTTCAATTATTCCAGTGGACGATATAAACTTTCTATTCTAAACAAACAGAACAATTGTTTCGTTCCTAAAACTTAGGGTTTACATCATGAATTGATTTTCGTTTGGCACCCATCGAAAAGTAGGAAGTGCTGGAGGTCCGCCTAGTTCTAGTATGGACCCTCTATTTCATCTCGACACTTGGAAATCTCAAACAACATATTATAATAGTTAAATCATAAACATAAAATATAACGATATTTCATCTTTTTATTATTGTTTAATTCTATTTTGTTCATCGATTAATTTCGTTCTATTTAGATTTATTTTATAAAAAGATTTGACTAATGATTCACATTTGTTCCTTAATTTCTGTTTTATCGAGCTTATTCTCTATTGATTTGTTACTTCTTTACCGTTATTATTATTATTGTTATTATTATTTTGTGTCCTAATTCCTATTTGCCTGTAAGTTTCTACCAACTTTTTTTCATCATATCCTACAAGATGACATTTTTTTTGTCTTTTCAAATTTAACTCAAGGCTAAATTATAAAGGAACCTTTTCGTTTGTTATTTTGATAATCTAATCGACAAATGAATCACATTGCGAATTTCAAATTTTTATATCGGTAAATATTTATTTATTGAACTGAAATTTTTTTTTAAATATGTAGAAATTTGTAGATCGATTTCATCATGAACTAATATCAATTGGAAATCAAAAAAGTGAACACCTAAATTTTGAATCTACATCGATTCACGAATCTCTTAGATTTCACGGTGACCATGATCCTTTTAAACTACTAAGTAAGAACCTACTGATTAAGATCTCTAGTCAATTTTCGACAACTCGTGACGATTAATTACGTCATCCATCAATAACTTTCGGATTCATAAATTTCTTGAATTATTAAAGTAGGTGTTGAGTAGATCTAAATTAACAGTTGCTTAGTTATCTTTTAATGGATCTACCCTTAATCTTAATTAGGGATTGTAGTGATTTTAGAATATTCTAGACAAGTAAAACGATTACAAAACATTTTAATGATATTTTAGATTATAACAATACTCCGGAACACCTAGACTTTGATTCAGTGACCCAGAGCAGTTTAGTTTATTGATCTTTAGCCAAATAAATCAACAATACTTATTTTTCATCTTATTAAAAGTCTTAAAGAAGCCTATCAAAATTTATGACGATTTGATTAAGATGTAATCAATGGTACCGGATTTATTTACCTTTCTTAAATCTCAATCAGTTATTATTATTTTATAACACTCCTATGGATGAAATTCATATTGCTGTTATTAGAGAGAATTCAGTTCATCTTAAATGAGTTGCCACTAAAATAGCCTATTTGTTCTATAGATAAATCATAAACCTATGGTAATAATCAGTGCTTACATCATGGATTGATTATCTCGTTAAGTATAGGTCCAATTTATCCAATCGTTGTGAAATTGATTATGTACATGAAATTCTTCAAGTATATCGATATCATTTGATTTTTCATACGTCAACTTCAATTGTCCTAAGAGTTTGTAAACTCTTGTTGAAATTGTATATATGTGGAATTTTGATGTTTATTATAGTTCAGAACTTATTCCTTATTTATTAACATAAGTTCATTTATAATGAATCCATATATTTTACGTCAGTTTATTGCTATATTGAACAATAAATTAATTTTACATCGTTTTTTATCGAAAATAATTTTCTGTCTTCGCTTTTTGTAAATGTTTTTTTCGTGATATGTGGTCTTGTACATTTTTTCTTGTTAAATTTTCAATTGATCTTAACTCGTTTGCATAGTTTTTTTACTGTTGCTAGGTCGAATTCGCTAAAGTGTGAAGGAATAATGTAGTCTCATATCTTACAGGTGTATCCAATACATGATATTGTCTTAGTCACGATAGAATGATCACATTTTCTGATTTCGCATCAGGTCACTATTTTTCATATACAGTAAAAGGTGGTCTGAATCAAATATAATTCGTTTATCTTTGGGATTACAAGCAAGACTCCTAGCGTATTTATTATTTAAAACTACTAACCAAACACATAAAGAGTATAAGCTTAGAAAATGGACTACTGAATTTTGTTTGGCTACCAAATTTTTTTAAAAAGAACACTGTGATCGGAAACCATGAATATAAAAAATTACCAAGATCTCAGCATTGTCTTATTGACTTCGATGCTTTTAAGCTATGACTAAACTACTGATATAATCGTGAACAAAAATACAATTAAAAACAATTTAAATGACGTATATGATAGCTAAAAATATCTTTTTACTTTTGTTGAACACACGAAATACAAGTATAGAAGAACTTGAATCTGCTTTTTAGCTAATTTGTTTTTCGCATACGCACATCATTTTTCATACAACAGATTGTACCTATAAAAGGTTAACTTAGAAAATAATAACTTGTAATAATACTAATCAGTTTAAATCTTCCTTACATTAATATGTTGAGAGTTATTTTATTACTTAAAGTTAAATAAATGATATACAATAGTAATAACTAACAAACTGTAGCGTACAAATTAATGTTAAAATTGTAACAGAGTTAGAAATCTAGTATTAAATGTCAATCACGGTCTTCTTATGTTGGGATGTAATATGGTCCATAAGTTAATTGATTTGACATTCTTGTAGAACTGAATACCTGAAGTCTACTAACTGAATACTTAAAAAACTGGATTCGTTTTTCCTTAAGTTGGTTGGTAAATGTTTATCTGGAATCATACACAAACTCATCATTTCTCAGAAATCCCCACTTATGTCATCAAGCCTTCAAATTACAATAGGGATATTTTATTCTTTTCACTTAATATTATTTACTATTAATGGTGAGGATTTATTATTCATCTTAATTTTAAAAAAGTTATTTCTTATACTTGTTTCCATAGTTATTCGATTAGTATTTTTAACATATTATTGATGTTCTATTATGTAGATAAAGGTTCATAAACTGGTCACCAATTTACATTGTTGACATACAAGAATATTTTGCTCCTTATGATCTAATTATTTCTTCTTCATATCTCCTATACTTATTGCTGTTGCTTATCCTAGAAAGCATGACAAACCAGCATGTGATAGACCTGGAAATAAATGTCAAGATGATTCATTCTTTGTTTATTGTTCTTTCCGTCATTATTACTATTATTTCTCTTATTGTATTAAATAACTATCTAGAAATGTTTCAAATGTCGTGTTATATTCACTTTTCATCTATCCACCCTTTTGGAAAAAATTATAATTTTCTCTTATGTTTACGTACTACTATTTTATGTTTCTTACTTAAGCTGTTTTGAACAAAATTATATACTGACCAATAATAAATCACCACTGAAAACCTACGAGTAGTGGACGGCTGTTTCGTTCTAGCATGAGACTCCTCAGCAATGCAAATGAATCCCGCACGCGGAACTCAAATGCAGTACCCTCGATCTCGCACAAACGCTTAAACTCTAGACCATTGAGTTGGGATCCAACAGTGGTAATATCTAACTTCAACCAATCCACGATGTTACGCAAACACATCCCATTGATGAAACGGCCGTCCGGTGCTTCCAGCTTTTCAGTGGTGGTCTAACAATGGTCGTTTCATGACCTCAATTAAAACTTAACAATCTCCACAATCCTATACTGAGAACTATACAAACTTACAGTGAATTCTCATTGTTACGTGTTGTCTAAACTATTACGGTATAATTGTTATGAAAGTTTTGACAGTTTCAGTTGTGTTATATATATACTGAAGGTTGCTATTATATACATGTATACTTTCCAATAAATGAATGGAAGATTGTTGCGCAACAATAATAATAACCTTAAGTAAGCTTTTGTAACAGATGGGAATTACTCGAAAAGCTATCTAAAACCAAATATTCTTCATATATTTACTAATAATTGGTGTTGAAATCAAATTCTTAAATTCTGGTGATAAGTTTTGCTTACTGAAGTTCAACCAGAAAGCGGTTATCCATAAGTGGTGTCAGATGATTTACTTGATCAAACCTGGAATCTTATTACTCAGCGAATCAAATAAATAGTTTTCGCGAAATATTAGGATTCTGGGTTCAATTTTGTGCACAGTTTTGTGTGCTCATTAATAATGAGTCCTAAGAGCAAACCAAAACAATTACCCAATCCTTATTTCCTTTATGTTGTCCTCCAGCTTAGGTCATATGTGATGAGAATCTTCAAGAATTAGTCAACCATTTAAATTCTAAGAATCTGTAAAATATTTGACACTCATCAAATTACTATTTTTATGGCTTCTTATTATTGCTATCATCAACATTATTTAAATTTTTTACTACGGTTACATGTTTTATTCAAAATTGTATTGTGTCTTCACAACGTCTGTATGTCTGAGACATATTTTATGACGTGAAACAATAAAACACATCAAGTAGCTAAGCATAAACAATACTATCGATTAGAATTTCAACTGATTTATCAACTATAATTTATTATTGACATTTTAATAAAATAAACTTTAGGTGATCTATGATATTTTTTGAATTGTCTAGTCTTGAAACTTCAATATTGATAAGTTAGAGATCGACTATCCATGTCAGTAAAAGTCAATGTTAGAATCGTGATCAAATAATTTCTCTAACAAATCGAAATACTGTTTATACCACCAACAATTAAGGATATTTGCTACATCTGCAAATGAATGATAGAATTTCATAGAGGGAAATAGTTGAAAAAGGTTTTAGTCAAGATAAAAAAGAGCTATAAACCTATTTTTTATATATCATGGAGATAGAAACTATTGGTTCGAAAATTTTACGGTAATTCCCGTGCTAAATCTACGTTCGAAAATTGATTTTATTTATTTTTAATGGTTTACTTATCTTTCAAAATGCTATTCACCTTAGTAATTGTTTGTCAGTGTGTTCCGCTCAGTTGACATCTTCAGTTTTAACTTCCGTCCACTTTCTATTCTAGTTGGAGTCACGCTAAAATGTATGTGTTTCCGTAACAAGTACTCTCCCTTCAGTTTATTAATGTTGTGTTGCGTAATATACACTGTTCAGCTTTTGCCAAACCTCTCGAGAAGATAATTTTATGATGGCTCTCATAATGTAAATAGGAAGTGTTAATCATCATGACTATTACTGTAGTCAAATATCTTATTCGTGCCCGTTCACGACTTCGAGGTTCTACATATATATATATATATATATATATATATGGCTTATGCGATGTAACTTCCTCCTGCTAACTAGCTAAGCATACAGACGACTATTTTGACTTTAAAATCTTGAACATTTATATTTTAATTGATTTCATTTGAAGAAACGTCAAAAACTCAAACGGAAAAAACGTAAACTTTTATTTATTAGGCATTATTTAAAAGTTAGTTTATATCATAATCTTTTTTTAAAGAATATGTCGAGTACTGTTTGAACTGGATTTAATGTCGTTTAGATTATAATTAAAGTTCTATAATTTGTAGGCATTTTGCTAAAGAAAGTTATGAACAATTCTTAACCATAAGTTTTAATGAAAGTCTTTTTTTTCACAAAATATAGGCATAGAATTTTTCGTCGACGTAGTATTAGTCGGCTAAGCTGTACAAACGGTATAATGCAACGTAGTATTACATCAACTAATGCAATCAATGGAAGTTGTTTATCGTTGATAAGTTCATCAGAATCTCAAACCAAATCATCTACGGATAATAATAGTAATAAGCATGTAAAAATGAATGGAAATGTATTTAATATGAATGAAAATAAAAATACTGTCGTAGCATCTATTACTAAAACTGATGTTATTCGCGATGCTGAATCATTGAATCTAACCATTAAGGATATCGATTTAACACTGAATAATCCAATTGGATTGACACCGAGACGCGAGAAACGTCGAATTCTAACAGTTACCGGTGATTTAATGAATTCTAATCGTCTAACACGTGTATTTACACGTGGTCATAAGACATCAGTAGATGTTACTGAACAGTCAAATAAATTACTACCAAATACACAAGTGTCCAAACAATTGTCAGTAATGGGATTGAATATTAATAATAATGGCATTAATGTTAACAGCTCCAATGATAATTCAGATTGGTCATCTGATGTTGAAGATAAGTCAAGTACTTTAGTTAGAAAAACAACTGAGAAAAGTTCAGACAATTCTTCTACATTAAAACAATCAAATTCATTAGATTGTAGAAAAACTACTCCACCTAGACAAGTTGTTCAGGTTAGTTTTTTATTATTCAAGATTATTATATTATTGTTGTTAACATATTTTTGTCGTTATTTCTTTATATCAACATTTTGGCCTTAAGTATCATATTTACGTTAAGTATAAATGTTTATAGACTGAAATTTGAGTTAACGAATTCCATAAAATAAATACTTCCTTCTGAAGTAAAATTCAACTTAAAATCCTTGAGATATCATCAAATAGATGTTAGTATCCAATCCTTAGAATGAAATATATTGTTGTACATTTCTATATTTTTATTTAATTCATGATATTGATATAATCTGGATAATGTGTATCCAATTCGTATCGGCCTAATCTATTTGTGGACAGTCGTCGTCATTGTCTGTGAGTATGTATGAGAAGTTTCAAACCAGAGTGCACCAACCACTTCATTGTTTTCTCAGCATTCTTTATATACAAACATTGTTAGTTCTAATAAAAATTTTGGTTCTATCTTATCAAGTTTTTTAGCATCACGTGAACTTCAATTCTTTAGAATAAAACTTTGACTATTTTCAAAATACGTGGGTATTTTTATCCATAAAACCACTCCCTAGAAATTCTCTCGTTTACTCTTGTACATTTGTTTTATTTACTGTTTATTGTGATTATATATGCAAAAGATGAAAGAAACAAACAGTGCTCCTAATAGGGAACGTTTGATTAGAAAGAAACCTATCAAATAAAAGTCTTCAGTTTTTCTAGAGTTCTGAAACACTATCCACTATACATACACTATACGTACCAGAAACGTTTGCTCGAATTCTTTTCTTAGCCTGGTTTGTATTTCTCTGTTTATAACTTCTCTTCCTCCCTTATCTTTCTGTTAACTTCATATTTCCAGTAAACTCATGTTTACTTGTCTACTATGTTTGTATTTTAGTTAAAGAACATCATGGAATCTACTTATTAACATTTGCCTTGTTTCTCTATCGTTTCTTAACAGCGATTCTGCATTTTCTTCATATTAGGAAAAATATTTTCATAATTTAGTACCATAGACATTGTTACGTCACTGCATAATTTTTCTAATAACATCAATAAAGGTGCTGTTTGTGCGATTGACTTCAGTTGTTTCCAATTAATTTGTACTCACCTAACTTTAAAATACCGGCTTCGATGATTATTCATAAATCACCAAGCCTTCTGGGTAGATAATATATGTATTAATATATTCGAACTGGGTTGATTTTTAGTCAAGACAAGCAAATGTATTCGTAATACTTTCTCCTTTGGTTTTATTTTAACAAATAATCTTGAAAACTGCAGTATGTTAACTCAGTGCAACTTGTTACCAGTTCTTCAAGTTCGTTATATTGCCTAATGTTCTGAACTTGTCGAAATTTTCTGAAAATAACTAGCCCATTTTATTAAATTTCGATGAATAGGGAGTATCGCTTTTAATTATTTATGAGTAATAAAAAAAGATCTTTGTTATTTTCTCTGAGATAAAAAATATAAAAAAATAAAACTTTGTTACATAATTGTATTCGTCCATTTATAAATTTATTGGTGTAATGGTGAATTCAACTCTGTTTATGACTAGTGAGAAGTGTAAACACGAGAGTGCTTATTTTGAGTGAGTGGATAAATCGTCTAACTAAGGTTACTCCTCACAAATCTCTGTCTGAACTAATTTAGTAAAACATATATGCGCATGATTTATGAGTGTATTCAACCGATGATGAACATTAAAGTTTCCAACACACTCTTAGTCTTATTACTTTGGATAGATGACTGAATAAATGTTGGAAAATGTGTAGTTTGACTAAATTGAATTGAACGTCAAGTTAAAATGAGACATCTACCACTTATGGCATTGTATAATCATAGTGCTGTATTGTAAATTGGATGAGCTTCAAAATGTTAATCGTCTGATTCCATTTTAGTTGTATTAAAACAATGTTCTTCACGACACTTAAAAGTGTTGATCTTAACCCAGTATGGTTAGTTATAAGCGCATTCTACAGAACGGATTCTGTATCGCTTGTTTGGCATTAGTTCTTCAGTGGATATCAATTTGTTATACAAAGTGATTTAGTCTTAAAAAAAAGTTGGATAATTTATTTAGTACGAAAACACATGGATGTTATATTTTTTTCTTAGGTTTTCTTCTAAAATATTATTTCACTTAATTAGTTAGTTACCAATTGTTTTATAACAACAAGTTGAATTTGGCATAAGTTAATTAATTATTATTAAGTTTTTCCTATTAATTTCACAGAATATTCAGCTGTTATTAATCAAAATTATATGCAGGTAAATAATGAATGTTTGTATAGTTTTCTTCAACCGAATTAGATTTTTATCTCACATTTGACTTACATTCATTATTACTGATAACAACTATCTTATTTAACTAAATAATAATTTAAAACAATTTTGTTAGTATTTTCATTATAAACAATACAATATATTTTCTTTTCTGATAAATTACTTAAACGCATACTTTACAAACTTTAATTGAAATAAATAACAGAAATCTTTGCTTGGTGATATTTTTACATAAACAAATAATCATTTCATTTTTGATAATGTAACTAGAAGACGAAGATTATCAGAACTATGTGATATATTAGAGCAATACATTTCGAAACAATCTGATCATACATATACTTGTTAACCTTTTTGTTTTATATATAAATGCTCTCAACAAATAAATGTGTGATCAGATTATTTCGAAATGTATTGCGCTAATATATCACATAGTTCTGATAATCTTCGTATTTTAATTACATTATCGGAATTTATCAAAGGGACTAATTTTTTTAAAATCATTTCATTATTTTAACACTACTGAAATAAATATGGTTTATATTACTATAAATGTTTAAACACATAAAATATCTTTCAATGAAAAACAATTGATGGTTGCTACAATTGCATACATGAAAGGTTTTAAAAAATGATTCAGATCATTACTCATGTATATATATAGAGTTTGTGCGATTGTCTTTCTTTTCCATATAGTTATTGTTGATGTTTAACTTATCATATTCTTTAATAATTACTCCTAATTGCGTATATTAGTCCAAAGTGAAACCCATTATCTTTAATTTATGTAATTGAGAAGTATCTTTAACTCTTAGATTGAACGCTAATAAATAAACAAGTTTTCTATTACCTAATTTGTTCCGAGAAATATTGATAATACTTATGGATTATTACCACTTAGTTGCATGCCAATCCGTGAAAAGTTATAACTAAGTGAGCTTATCCTTATAATATTAAAATAAATAGATAGTAGTCGTGTCAATCAATCAGTAGAAGGTCTACTAGACTCTATACACCATTGACCTGTATCTAATGATGATTTTTGAAAGTTATGTACAATTTCCAACAAGGACCACCATGTTTTTGTTTGATCCAAGAGTTAATTTGCCGAAATTTGCATTCAGTAAATCTAGGTGTTGATATTTTTCTCTTATCACCTAAAAATTTTCGTTACTATGTATAAAATTCATCTTGTTGGATCAGTTTTTTTCATTCCTTATCTTGTTACTTATCTAAACTCATGAACTATGACTCATAACCAACTTTTTCAGTAAAATTAACATGAGCATATTTTTGTATTATAATATTTGATCATCTATTTCTTTGAGTTAGCATTTCATTTTACCCAGTCTTTTCATTTAATTATTAACAATGTAGGACAAGTCATAAATGCTTATTGTTTCAAGTTGCCATACTTTACATCATCATAGTAAGAGACAACTAACAAAATTAAAAATTAACGAGTTCATATAATTATGAATTTGGTGGACTAACAAAAGAGAACGGATAATTTACATTTGACTCATCGTTGGTTAGTAGCAGATCACACGTTTCATAAATATAACTCTCTCATGTCAATATTATAGAAATTCTTGTGCTAGATTGTTATTTCAATTTTCTAAAATGGTTCAAGAGAAAGTAGCTTTTCAAATATATACTGAAATCGTTCTTTAACTTTATTTATTTATTCATCTGTTAAAGTAATATCATGAAAATTGCATATTTCATATTTATATTTCTTAATTCAATTTATGATTTGCATCAAAACATAGAACGAATATTTCGGAGCAGAAACTTTTTTATAGTTCTATTTCAAATGTTTTACGATTGTATTTCCCTGAAACACTATTATGACAACTTTACTTGTTAGTATAAAAGGCTTACAATTAATGAAGTTCATTAAATGAATTTAACACTAAAGGATTAAATAAAGGAATCATCAGCTTGAGAAGAGAACATAAGAAGTTTGAGTGAATAAAAAATTCATATTACAAGTACATTAAACAAAAGTGACTAAATACAAGAAAAGATTCAAATTACCGATGATGAGTTTATCAAAGTTATGAAATAAATAAAACTTGTGTACTTAAGTTAATAACATTAGAGTGTAATGAACTAATAAGGATATGATTTTATTCTATTCAAAAATAACGAAAGGATAAAACAATTATGTAAAATAAATGTAAAAGCATAACTTTTTACAGATTGGTTAATAAATAGTTTGCCTAGTTCTATAATCATCAGTTCCTTTAAAATTACAAATACACCTTGCTGACATGTTCGCCTTAGCATGTATAATCAGGTTTGTGACTTTCTGTAGATTTTGAGCTCGGGTATCTAACGTTACAGTATTAGTTGGTTTTCTCGATTACTTAACTCAACTGGGGCCACTATGATGGGAAATATTTCCATTGTAAGAGGTCGTACAGATGTTTTTCTGTCTGCACGACTTTTTATAGTGTGAATAACAAGCTTTCTAAATCATCCTATTACTTCGTATCTAGTACCTTATTCAATGTAAAACTTTATATCCATTTTCTTTGCCGTAAACAGGACTGACCTCTTTTTGTCATAATCTGGCATTGAAATTAAAAATATCTAAACTCTCCGAACATACACTCACCAATCTACTATGGTTTTTATCAATATATGCATCGCGACTTTCGTAGTTTATGAAAACTGTCTTTAAAATTGGTGTGGGTTCATATCAATACAAATCTTTTATTTGATACACTGTTTATTGTTCTATTTCTCAATAACACTATATTTTTCAATATTAAATATTTATTTAGCCTCACGAAGCTCCACTTCTTGATCCTTTTGGTTCTGATTGTGGCAGGCCTCGTTTACGGATTCTTCTAGGACAAACAAATCGTTTAAATTGTCTAACTGGAACATCTTCAGCATCAACTACGAAAAGTAATCCCAATACCGCATTCAAAAATATCTCAGATCATAAAAATAATTTAACCAGTCGTCAGTCTCTAGCAAAATCCTGTATAACATCTACATTTACCGCTACAAGTCTTGTATCAAAAGGAAGTACGAATTCTATTAATAGTATCTCTTCTTCGTATATAGTCCCAATTAGTAAAACAGATTTTTAAAATCTACCCATAATTATTTTCAATAAATTCTAAGAAACAGTATTTCTTTCATTGTATTTTTTCTCCCATGTGATTTATTCTTTTTTTAGATATTTTTTGTGTTTCATTACATTATCAATAATGTTGATAGCTAAGTTACTGCATTGATTCTGTCATTTTATCCTGAACTTTCATTTGTTCAATAGTAAATATTTTTATGTTAAGGTGGTCTTAATTCTGTTTACCAAATTTTGTTAGTTTGTAATTGTACAGAATCAATATAGAAAAACTCAATGCATAATTCAGTCCAATCGTCCTACATTATGTACTTAAAAATCAATAGTTTATATAAACGACAAGAGAATTCAGCAATTGTCATCGGATTATTATTATTATTGTTATTATATTCAGAATCATGTCTCCAAAATTATCCGAATATGTATATAATATGAAAAATAGTATATTTATAATATGTATCTATACTACTTACAATAAAATGGGCTTTATCATATTAACTTTTTATTCATAATCAACAATGGATTGTTTTAATCATCATTATATTTCAATTTATTTATTAAATTCTGAATTTGTATAATATTGAATTCACTTGAATTATACTATGAAAATGTAAATGGATGATTTTTATTTCTATCTATAATTTAAATATAATTAAAATATCGGATTAATTGTTTGTATTTTGAATAGTTAATAATAAAACTTGTTTTTGTTGTTTTTACGCCTTTTTTAAATTATTTGTTCAATAAAGTTGAATTTCTACCGTTTTCTTTTTCTTTCACTTTTTTTCGAAATGTGAATTAGGAGACACTGTCAAAAAGAAAACAAATACTTTTGTTCCTGTTACTAAGGTTTCTTTCTTACAAAGTTAAGTAAACATGATATAGATGATTGTATAACGAAAACAATATGAAGACGATATACTAATTAGAAGTAGAGACTAGTTTAATGGTTACTCTAGTATCAAGTACCTTGACTTATGGAATGTTTGACTTTGAAAATTGAGTTTTAGATGTTCAGCAGGTTGCTTGTTTGCTAAAATACAATGGGATTTGTTTGAACTATGGTTAGATAGCTATCTTTCTAACATGTATATATCTAACAAAGAACTTTAACTGAAGAGTTATCTTGCTATAACTGATGGGGAATTTGTCAATCCTTTTATCTGTAATCTATTTTACTGTGGAATATGTTTAGTAGATTAAATAATCGATGGTACTTCATGCATAATGTTGATAATGATGGTTATGTTAGGATTTAAACAACTGTGATTTTGTTTTTAATCTTTTTGAGAAATATGAGTTTTATTACATTTGATATAGTAAATTAAAATAAATATGGTTATTCAAAGGAAATACCAATGATTATTATCACAACATACGAAACGAGTAGGCTATGAGCGTCAGTTCCTTATCGCCTAATTGTGACGGGTGATATTACTGCTAGGATGTTTTCATTGCAATCGGTAATCGTCCTTGATTTCCCATTTCTCAATTAAACATTCATATAAACAGTGTGGTAAACTAACAAATAATATTCAGAGAACTAGTCCGTAAAGCAATGTTCCGACATGGTTGCTTATAGAAGGGGTCTAGAAGTTGGGGGGAATTTTAACAACCTCGTCTCATTCAGAGTTTAACATTAAGCAACATTCTTGAAGAACTCACGTTTTGTCTGTTTGTTGTTTGATTTGTTATTATCCTGTCTTTTGAAAATGTAGAGTACTTTGTTATATGGAGTATGCTCTGCTGATTATCTGGTTACATGAAATACGCTATTTTGTAAATACTTGTATTTGACTACAAAGTTCAGACAATCTGAAGGGAGATGAGTCAAAAAGGTTTGAGTGACTAAGTACTGTGAAACAACAAACTGATACGTCTTTGAGGTCACACCATGTTAGTAAATTACGAAACATTTTATGGAAGTTTCCAAAGTTTCCCATAACTCTTACAATTTGGTAAGGGGTGTTTATAACAGGTAGTTATCTTAAGTTTCCTAATCATGAAAGAAAGAGTAACAGCTTGCTTAAACTGAATTTTAATCATGATGCTTAGGAATGATATTTTTTTAAAACTTGGGATATTGCAGTGATTTCGATCGGTTTTCCATTATTTCAGTCCCTAAATTTATTAGCATTTTTGAATTCAGATTTTCGTTAATGCTGCCCATATACGTAAACGTCTCCACCTCTTCTAGAGGCTTCCCATCAAATATGGTTGCGTTGGTATTAGCTGTGTTGCATTTAAGAATCTTACTTTCTCACTTGTGTATGTTGAGGTCTCTTGCTATAGAGGCTGCTGCTACACTAACTATCCTCACCTGGATTTGTTGTTGTGTATGGGACAGAATAACTAGGCTATCTGTGAAGTCCAAATTGTTTGGTTGCATCCTAGCTGTTCACTATATCCCATGCCTGAGAAACGGACATCTTCCTAATACAGTCGACCACGAGAAGAAATAAAAATGGAGAGAGTAAGCAGTCTTGTCTGATAGCGGTTTTCATTTGGAATGCATGACCTCGCACTGTAGTCAGTCGTACAAATTCCGAATGACGTCGAAGATCTTCCCTGTTACACCATGGTATTGACGAAGGTTCCATAACGTTCTCCCTTCCACATGATCATACGTTTTCTCATAACCAAGAGAGTTTTTGTATAGTGATGAGTTCCGTTCAACCGACTGTTAAACAATGTTCCGTAGTGTCGCGATTTAGTCCATGTATGACCGATGCTTACAGATCACTTGATCCTATTGATATCGATGTTTGACGTTTAATGGACTTGTTGTTCCGTACGCCATCATTCTGTTGAAAACATTTACTGTTACTGACAATAGTGTGATACTTCTGTAGTTCTCATATCTGCTTGGATCTGCTTTGTTTGGTATCACGATGAGGTATCAATCTTTCCAGTCCGTCGGCACTTATTCTTCCTCCCAAATCTTCCTAAATAATGTTAAGTATGTTTGTAACTACTTCTATATCTGACTTTAGTGATTCAGCTGGTATATTGCCAAGTTTTGCTGCTTTCTTACTCTTGATTTGTCTGATGGCCATCCTGATTTCTTCAATCGTTGTTGGGGTGACATCTATAGGAAGGTCTGTAGGCGCTGTTTCGACTTCCGGTGGATTCATTGTAACTGGTATGCCAATCAGTTCCTCATAGTGCTCTACACACCCATTTCTCTGCTTCTGAATCTCAGTGACTGATTCCCTTTCTTTGTGCTTGACTAATCTCTTTGGTTTACTATATTTCTCCGCACATTTCTTTTTCGTGTCATATAGTTCCTTCATTACCCCTCTCTCGTAGTTTTTTCTGCTGTCGCTGCTAGCTATTCCACTTATTTCTGCTTGTCAGCTCTAATGCTCTTTTTCACTTACTTGTTTGTTTCTATGTATTCAGTTTGTGCTTTGACTTCCTCTGCTGTTCTTGGATTGTCGTTAATTGCTGTCATCTTGTTCCTCCTTTCTTCAACCCTCCTCAGGGTTTAGATAGAGATCCATTCCTTGTCGCCAAGCACCTCCAAACACGCTTCCTTGATCGCTTTTCAGTTAGCCTCCATCGTAGTTTCTTCTTTCAGTAGGTCCTGTAAGGCCAGGAACCCGTTGTTGAGAGTTATCTTGAATTCGTTGAGTTTGTCAGTGTCTCAAAGGAAAGATGTTTTGAACCCTTGTAATGCTGCCTCGTCAGCCGTCCATTGCTTCTTTACCTTAAGTTTTGTTTTCGCAACCACTAGGTGGTGATCCGAAGCCATATCAGCTCCACTTCTGGTTCTCACGTCTTACATTGTCCGTCTGAAGTTTTTAGTGATGCAAATATGATAGATCTGACTCACTGTGGTATAATTTCTTTAGACCCATATAGCTTTGTGTATGCGTTTGTGTGGAAATATTTTGCCACTTATATCCAATCTGTTCAATGCAAATATGTTTGCAAATCTCTCCCCATTTTCGTTTCTCTCTCCCAGTCCATGTCATCTCATGGTGTTGTCCATTGTGACTTTGGCGTTTAAGTCTCCGATCAGAATTGTTAGGTCGTTTCCTGTGCACTCCGCTACGATCAAACGCAAACTCTCATTAAACTGAGTCTTATCATCTTCATTGCTATTAATGGTTGGTGCGTAGAATTGGATAACATTCATTGTGCTTTCCTGTCTCTTTGTTTTGAAGGATGCTTTGATTATCCTAGGTCCGTGGGATTCCCATCCTTTAAATGTATTACGTGCTTCTTTCGACTGCATCAGAGCAACTCCGTGAGTACGTGTAGCATTTTCCTCTTAGTGACCGGAGTACAGCAGTATTTATCCCGTATCTAGCCTTTGACGTCCAGCTCGAGTCCAATGGGTTTCTTTGATTCTTAGTGTTGTCATGTCGTATCTCCTCATTTCCATAGCTATTTGACTAGCCATCCCAGTCTCCCATATTGTCTGGACATTCCATGTACCTATGTTAATTTTTACTTTGATTGTTATAAGCTGCATCCGTCTCATGATTTCCCACGAATAAAGGCTTTCACCATGAGGCACCATAATTATTCAGAATAAAGATCCTTAAACTCCCAGGAAGGAGTTTAAGTGGTTTAAATTGTTTATTGTGGTTAGCGTATCTTTAGTATTGTTGTTTTCTACGTGATGGGGTTGCTGACCACACTCCAAACTCACCTCCTTTACCGTGTTTTGAGACTGGCAGTAACCAAGAAAGGACTACAGGCGGAGCTATTATGTTAAAACGTATCCACGTTATAAAGGCTCAGTAGTATACAAAATTGTCCGGGACGTGGTCAATTACAATAAGTCATCCTCCAGGTGTTAGCTGGATGACTTCTTATCACTGATCATGAAATCGAAACTGAAAAAAAGAATCAAGTCTGTCCATATTTATCACTTCTGTCTTTGAATCTGTAACATCCGCTTCGAAGCGCTTTTTTCGAGCACACTTTTAATGCGATTTTTGTAGTAATCACGCTTGCTACCGAAATGAGTATCCTACTGTGATGTCATTAGCATGCAAATGCGTATCTTTACTAAAAAACTGGAAATATCATTGATATGAGCTATAAAGATTACCAACACTTAGTACATTTTTGTAGTCGGTGAGAATATACATGATGGATTCATTTTATCCATTTGGTCGAGAATTCTTCAACCATGTAATCAGGCAACCGCTGATCCTATATGTCTCGTGAGATGTTGCCCATATCAGTACAGTGTTAAGACGTAGTGCATAGAATTATATTGAACATAGGTTATACAAAAGAAATTAAACTGTTAAATGGCGAAATATGTAAACTTTAAGAATCTGTGTTGGTTACTAACACGCTTTAAAATGAGCAAATAGTATCATTGATTCTGTAAATAAATGATATTGCAACAATAGGCAAATAATTGCTAGCCGATGTGATCTCTAGATTGGAAACATAATGGCATATATTTGACTTTCCAGTGATTAGGGTTACCCAATTCTAGTAGTGGTGTACCATTATTTTCCAAGTTGTAAATTTTCAACCATAGCACTTGATAGAAGGCCTTCTAAAATTCTGGCAAAACTTTGTGTGGTGTTTGAATGAACCAATGATTCTTTTGTACTTGTTGAATGCTCGATTTCGAATTCTAAATACAGTACATTCGTTGTGCCTGTGTCTTCTTAATTCAATTGCGTTAATCCTGGAATTTCTAATTCATACGATAATTCGAATACTATATTGGCGTCGTGATGGAACCTGCAATGGAAAAGTTAGATATTCATTCAACTCCTGAAGCTATTGAGGA